GCCTGTCATTGTGCAGCACAGTGCTGCCCAACCTGGCCTTGCCAGGGAGCCACTGTCCTTTCTGCCTGCTGCTGACCCTGGCAGCATTTCATCCTGGGCCTTGTCCTTGAGTCCTTCACAAGTTATGAACTTCTTGTGGACATTAGTAGACACGTCTTGGCAAGCTCTCTTTCAAAGTACACAGCTCCCGTGACGAGAATGTTCACTGGAATCTGCAAAATGAAATGCTTACGCCCGTCCTGATATTAGCTTCTGTCGTAGTCATAGAAATGCTGATATCACCGACCACACTTGGCGTAAGTCTTAGGCTCTGGACCAAACTTAGATTTATCCCGGTTTCACCTTCTAAGAGCTTCCACTAGAAGATGAAATGGTTAAACAGTACCTGTACTCACTTGCATATCTTAACAAATGTTGATGATTTATAACATTTATCTTAAGCTTCTGTCATTTTAAAATGTATTTATTTATACTTATCTTCTCAAATGCTCCCTTTCCCCACCCCTCACTCATACATTTGATAGGTGGGAGATTGTATGAATGCTTTTGTCTGTTTGGGGCTCAAATTATAGTTATTTGAGGAGGCCTTCATTCCTCTGCAAGCTTGTAAGTTCGCTGGGGTTAGAATTTGTGCTTGGTTTATCTTTTCATCTCTTTTAACTTCTTATGCAGTGCATTGAACACAGTAGGTGCTTAATGCCTATTTGTCACATGGCTGAATGAAGACTGAATCCTACACGGAGTGGACCATGACTCTGACCCATTGTCAGTCACGGCTGTGGTATTTGGAGATCTGGGGAAGCTCAGGATGTTTCCTGGTCTGGGTGGGATGTCAGGGCTGCTACACAGCTTCTACCTGGAGTCTTGAGAAACTTGCCCCTTGCAGGACCCCTTTGCATAGGCCCATTGTGCCTTTCTGACTCCTTGCCTTAACAGCTCAGGAAGTGCTATACATTCCTCAAGCAAACTTCTGTCTATATACAGTAGTGAGAAAGCTCCTAGGTTATTCTGACATGCAGATAATGGACACCAGTCTGCACTGAAAAACCTTTTCCAGTCTGAGAGTTCTTGGAATAACCCAGTTTTAGGCGGGCTCAGACTGGGGTCAGACCAGAAAGCATTGCTGTGCAACAGTGTTTTGCCTTTGCAGGGGACAGTGTAAGAAGCCTTCCACCAGCGTTTTGTTGCCCAGAAGTTGTAAGAATGGCAGTAAAGCCATTGCGCCTGGATGTCCCCTTCCATCCAATCAATAACCCCACTGTCCAGACACGGTGCATCACAGAACTGTTGGGGGCTCAGCCAGGGATAGGAAATTTGTGGCAAAGCAATTAGTA